ATCTTTTTCTAGAAAATACATCAGTCTATAGTACAACTTGTGTACTTCAAACTACTATAAAACGTAGAAAAGAGCCCCCTCTGGTTAATTTAGTTTTAATTCGCAAAGTTGTTAGAATATAGGATGAGCATTGCTCTTTTAGACATAATAAATGAATATCTAGATTAAACAAAAAATTTGTTCTTTTCTCGTTTTCTTGATTTCTACGTTCACTTCTATAAGCGCGAAGAAGAAAGGAAGATCAAACAGATGGCTTTCTTTGAAGTCGGAAGGTGAACTGAGTTGTACTATAGTGTAGAAAAACGTGAAATCTCAACACGAAGATTCTCGAGTAAAAATCACAGTTGCCTTAGTGAGATCTTTTCGACGTAGAACGTGATTGACTATTCCTAATATCTAGAATCCCAAACCATTTTTCTTTAGAAATAAAGGTCAAACTTTCATATCTTGTTTCTTTCCTTTTTGTTCCACAGTATAGTTCAGTAGCACCATGAGTCTATTTTATCATTAGTCTATGTAATACCTGAAAAAAGCGATGATGAAAAATGATTCTTATTCTTGTGTTCCACCTAATGTGTTAAAGATAGAAGAATATATTCAAAAAGTAATTATTATACAGGATGCAGTTTGTTTAATGAGAAAAAGAAATCGCTTAAATTGAATGACGGTAAAATATAGTTTAAAATGTCGATTTTAAATACCAACCAAAAACAAACAGGCAAATGGTTTTAACGAAAACATTAAATCGACTGTTAAACAGAGCTTGTGTTCCACATGTTGCTACAACGTTATGATTGCCTAAAATCGAACACGCTATCGGATTCATTGCGGCACAGGCTACTGCGTTGCAAGTCGCAGATCCACATATGACACCGAGAGCAATGTATGTTTGAGGTGTTGGAGTACACGAACTGCTACCTTGACAACAATCACAATTACAATGAGTACTGGACGTTGATTGAATAATTAACGACAAGCATATGGTAAATAATATCAATTTGTTCATTTTAAATCACTATAAACAAAAAGCTTTATAAAGTTCGAAGATCACATCCTTGCCACAAGGTTTCTCAGAATGAATATATCCAATGCGATTCATGTTTACTTTTGACTGTGAACAAATGAGGATGAACTCAGTATCTCGTTCTTTTATCATGAATTTGTCTCGTATGCAGTTCTAGAGCAAAACAACTACAGAAAATGTGTTTTTGACGGCAGCAAGAAGGCTGTGACGTTTTGAGTAGTATGGAAAATAGGGAAGTAAAAGGTTCTCAATTTTCCAAAAAGTTGATTTTTATTTTCTCCTCCACTCGTGCAGATCTTGCATGTCAGTTGGACCGTTTTGCGACATTTGCTGCCAAACCTGTGACTACGCATGCGGTGAGTCAGTAGAATAAAAATAAGGACCGTGAAATCAAACAGCATATTTTGTAGCCCAATTTATTTCTCGTCTAATGAGCTAAACGGAATATTTAAAGATTCTTCCTGAACAGAAAAAAATCAGCTTTATTTGTCGGTTCTAGATGAACCCAAGAGAAAAATGAGTACAAAGACGACGCTATTCATTTAATATTTGGCCTTGGACGATAGGTGAAGGGGTGATTTTGACAGTCGAACTAGCTCCGACTATGAGGAATATTCTTCAAAGAAATGGCTCAATTTGATCACGGATCGTACAAGATACTGGCGTAGCCGTGTTCGATGTTTCAGTGGCACAAATGATTCACCAACGTCCTATATGTATATGCAATAAAGAAAAAATCAGTCAGTACGAACCTTTCGTTTGTATTTACTGTGTGAATAGTTTTTACCTTCCAAATGTATTGTGCTCTAATGACTTTGATACAAAACAAATCCAAATTCTACTTATTATGAAGTTAATAAATGTAGGCTACCACTATGAATGAATAACGAATATACATTTGACACAAACAAATACGCATAAAAATAGCACCGTCTCTACTTTCTTCTATAAAAAAAATTGTTCCCTTTTTCAAATATATGTAACCAACATACATTTCTTTCTCCGCAAATATCGTTTTTAATATCATACTACTGAATAAAGCACTGAGTGTGCCTGCTATTCAACCGTTAAAAATGAAAAAGAAATTATGTAAAATAAGCAACTTTTTTTGAACAGCCTGTGTCGAAAGTGCTGACACTCAGTCAGACTGAGAATTTTAGAACACAAATCTATTGTGGAACTTCAAGGTCTCGAAAGTTGCCTTGTTAATACCATCCGAAATTATCTATTTCGATCACTCCATTTCATCGAGAAATAGCACGCGAGTTCTCAAATATCAGTGTTCTTTTGATATTTGATACTCATCGAGCTGCTTTTTTGCGGTTTCTTAGGAGATCGGCAATCCGGCTCAAAAATTAGGTACAGACTGGAGGTTTTTACGCCTTACTTTATGAATACAGATGCCACTAGATTAATTTATTCTCGAACAAGGCGTAAATCGAAACAGATAACTGCTGTGAAAATCATTGTTAAATAAAAATTCCTTATGTCCTAAGTGAACTTTCTGTGTATACCTCGCATCATTTTCAGGCTCATCAAAACCTTATTACCTTTCAAGACACAGTATACTACCGTTTTTTCGGATAGTTAAAATTCCCAATAAATCGTCACATATACCATCAACTTTGCTGCAAAAGAGAAACTGAAAGAGAAACTCAAAGCTTTCTATTAACGCTTCTAAAACTCTCTTAGAAAAAGAGTCCAAAATAATTTCGTCAAAAAAAATAGCGAAAAATGGCCGCATTTTTCTTCTTGACCTGAAAGATTTGTTCTTCGACCTGACGTAACCGCCTCGCAGCTGTTTGAAGTTTGCGTCTCTGTTTGGAATTGGCGATATAAACTAAAAATGGAGAATAAAAAGAAATTGAAAGTACAGAGTAATAAATGTATTTTTCACATAATTTTAGATGTCTATTATGCGCTTTATTGCCATATTTACGCTAATGGGAACTGGTATTAGTATAAAGACAACACTGAAAAAACAGGTAAAGAAGGAATTGTGCATGGAGCATCAGGTGTTACATTTATATTAAAAGACAGATGTCGATGGGTGGAATGGCTGCAAAGTTTCGCTATGACTATACCTTTGACTCAACATTTTGTCATTTTATATCACTAGATCTGTCTAAAAGCATAGCCATATGTACCACGTACACAAAATCACCATTGCACACTACACTATCAACTGAGACATTTAGACAGAACGTATACAAGGCGATGTTGTAGCAACTACCTGAAGAAGTATTAGTCAGATCTAAACGCTCATTACCTTTAATATTTGCCAACACAAGCAAACAATGAATACTCAGAGTACAACGATATATCGACTACAAGAAACCAGTATACAGGAGGCTAAAGTACTAAAAAGTTGCATACATAACATAGGAGCTGTTGAAGTCGAAATGACATTAGTAATGAGAGATCAACATGTACTTAAGAGTGCCAGTACTAAAAAAGAACATAGCAAATGAAATTCAGTCTACATATAAATGGATAGTAGCTAGCATAAACCGTAATAGAAAAAATGATCCGAATATGGATTTTCTGCCCATGCATGAACATGGAGAGATATTAGAGACGCTATACGAATGGATAACAAACGGTACCGACCGTTTTCCAGGGATTACTATTGCTACCTTCGTTCAGCAACTGCTGAGCGCCATAGAATTCACATTTGATAGCGACGGTGATAAGCAGTACAAAACGACATCTATATTAGAGGAAGATTATCTCCGTCATATAGCCAATATGCATGTCTTAATGCACTTTTTAGTAGCTAAAGATTCGTATTCCTAATGTTATCAAATTGTTCCTATACCTATATTCACATCTTCAGAGAAAGGTTTTTTACTCAACCATATACCGAGATATATAGCTATTGATGAAGCATACTAGAATTTGAAGGTGATCTCGCTAAACATCAATGTAATTCTAGCAATGGATCTACAATTTGTCGAGAGATATTCGAACTCAGAGCATATATCGAGAATATATGTCTGAGAGAATTAATAGAAGACGATAAGTTTCTGTCTTGCACAGGAAGCATAACCGGAATAATGTCACCATACACTAAACTTATTTTCCTTTTTCGTTTTAGATTTAATCTGTATCCAATAATGAGTGGATCCTTTCCAATGCGTGACCCTTTGAAAATGTAGGACTTCTCCCATAATCGACGATAATTTGATTTGAAATCCAGTAATGGACCACTCTCAAAGGTATGATGTTTGATAACTTCGCCTTTCTTCTTCTGTTGTTTACATTTTCGTTTTGTTGTTCGCTTGCCAGAATCCACCTCTTGTCTTTCTTTCTCTCATTGTGTTGGTTTGTAGAGTAACTTTCGATGCAGTTGTTGATAGACTTCGACATCTAATTGTTTCCATACGGACCTTGCATCTTTTGATGGTGCAGCCGCTGTTTTATGAAAGAGTGACGTTTTCAACTCGCCATTTTGATTCTCAGTGTGTGTGTGTGAGATGCTGTATAACTATTCGTAGATTCCACGCAAATCGGTCGAAATATTCTTGAAACACTGTGTGCAATGTCAGGCCAGAAAACCAATGAAGCAGCATGTTGTGTCCAAACCTGTTGTTTTATTTTCATCTATGTGTTTCGTTCGAGGACTACCTTGTCATTCACAATCTCTAGGATGTGTTGAAAGAGCTGATGGTGTGTTGACCGGAGTGTTAAGGAAATGGATGGCGGACGAAGATTCAGTTCATTGGTCTGAAGGCTTACTACCGATTGTTTATGGAATGAATACGAAGTTCTTTGGTCTAAAGCCGCGTTCAGATGTGGAATTTTCTTTCTTTCTTTCTTTTTATTTTGGTGACATACCATGGTATATAATAAAAGTTCAGACATAAGAATGACTTGCAACAGAAAAAATAAATATGGAATTCACGGTTTCTGCCTATCATGACCAACAACTAGAAATAGCGAGAGAAATGCTTTTCACACTAGCTTTTGGGGCAAGATGAGTGCATTACATATAAGTTATACTTTACGCTGCCACTACCGATTGTTTATGGAATTAATACGAAGTTCTTTGGTCTAAAGCCGCGTTCAGATGTGGAATTTTGGCGAGTAGTTAAAGAGAACAATATTTTGGACGAAGACGATTTGCCGAGTAATGTAGAGGAAACTGATGAAACTCCAGCTGAGAAAGCCACTTCACACTTGCTTGGTTTGGACGATGAATTAGATACTACAGTTGTTAATGATGCAAATGAAAAAGATACTTCTATGTCTGCTGGTCCGGTTTATGTTGACACCACTGCTTCTCTTGCTATGTTGCTCACTTATTCGGTTACTGGTCTCGATGATGGTACAACACTTGTTAATCTTATTTCTTTTGATTCTCCGAAATCTCCTTCAAGGCCTATTTAAGATCTTTCCGTTGTTTTTGATGTTGCCATTCTAGACACTGATATGAAAACCACCCAAACTTATGATCTTCTCAACGAGTTGGTAGCACTTTGTGACTGTGTCGAAACAACTTCTCAAATGACTCTTTCAACTCCTTCTGCAGCTTCCACAATAAACTCAATTCATTCCCCTTCACAATTGCCACGGCGTGATTCGATACGAGAGAAGACAACTGAAAACTATGTTGCTACTGCCAATAAAAAGAGGAAACTTTACGATGATCATTTAACAACTTTAATTTTTATCATATGAAACTTTGATTTTTTTTTCAAACTCTGTATCAATAATACAAATAACAACCCAGATCTATAACACGTTTAATTGGATTAAGTAATAAAATGTAACGTTAGAAAATCTTTTATGTTTGACGACGCATCCTGCGGGTGAATAGAAAACTTTTCATACTGAGTGTACAACAGTAACGTGTCAAACCACCCACCATTCATTTTATGAAACTGCTATGAATCTCAAAAAACGGTTTCTGCTAGAAAATCGCCCAATATGATTTTGAGCGGAAATGCTTCCCTTTTCACTTTCCAACACTTCCCATTTTCAAAAAATCCTTCTGGTGTCTTTGAAAAAAAAATTACATTTCAGTTTTCGCCACCGGTTCAACAAAAGCCATTTACCGTTTTCCGCAAATTTCTCGTCCGATTTCAAAGTCCTTGAGCAAAGCGCATACATAGTAAAATAGAGATCTTTCTGGGCTTCAAAATAAGCTATAAACGAGGTTTTCAAAAATATGCCCATACAGGGCAATTGTCGAAATACTAGACAAATATCATCAAGTTCACCTGTCTTAGTGCTCTAAAGGAATATTTCTTGAACTCATCTCTTCAGACCCGGAACGTTTTATATACAGAAAGATAGAGAATTTTCTAGGCTTCAAAATAAGCGAGTAAAGCGCGCTGAGGAAGCCGTTTTCAGCGGCGGCGGCGAAGTTCTTCGTATGTCATGTCATAAAGTCTTTCTGTGGTCCCTACCACTGTTACAAACATTAGACGTTCCGTTTTCACAGAAATATAACGTTGTCTCCCTCTTGGCACGTGGATCTCTTCTTTTGTAAAATGGTTTCTCACCATACTTCAGTTTATTTTCATCAATTCAAAAAGTTCAGTGTTCTAAGGTACAATAAATTGAAGCCCAATAACAATAACGCATGATACAAGCCGAAACAGCAATAATGCCATTTTAATCTACTTGACCATAGAATAGTTATCATGAATAAATTGTATTTTTCCGACAGTCTCCGATGCAAGTTGTGTTTGTTTGGCAGATAAAATTAAGCCAGCAGTCGAAAATACTTGTTCGGATGGTGTCGAAGTAGCTGGGACGGCCAGAACTATCCGAGCTAGCTGCGCCAAATGTAGATATAAGTTTTTCGCATTTTTCCACCACAATAGAATCATCGACTGAAGCAACTTCTCTTTGGACCTTCCGATGGTTTGGAGATAACCGTCAATATAAATTTTCGAGAGAGATGGGTCCAATATGAAACCTGCACACGTGAGTTCAGAAATGGGTAAACGTTTGTCGATATTTTTTTGACTTAGCGTTTTTTGAGATCGGCAATCCGGCTCAAAAATTAGGTACAGACTGGAGGTTTTTACGCCTTACTTTATGAATACAGATGCCACTAGATTAATTTATTCTCGAACAAGGCGTAAATCGAAACAGATAACTGCTGTGAAAATCATTGTTAAATAAAAATTCCTTATGTCCTAAGTGAACTTTCTGTGTATACCTCGCATCATTTTCAGGCTCATCAAAACCTTATTACCTTTCAAGACACAGTATACTACCGTTTTTTCGGATAGTTAAAATTCCCAATAAATCGTCACATATACCATCAACTTTGCTGCAAAAGAGAAACTCAAAGCTTTCTATTAACGCTTCTAAAACTCTCTTAGAAAAAGAGTCCAAAATAATTTCGTCAAAAAAAATAGCGAAAAATGGTAAGAAGTTCTTTCTGTTTTTAATTTTTTTCTACGATGTTCAAACTTCAAAGCAAATAGTGCGTTTTGTAGAGAATTCAATTCTCTATCCGACAGCATAGTTTTTAGATTTTTGGAACGAAATAAGTAGATCATAAAATTCAAATTAAAAGCCTCAAAAAACTATTCTATTCTAACTAATTCCATTTTTCTGTGTATTAAAACATTCTTTTCTCTAGAGAGTAAGGATGCATTAATAACGCGTTAGAGTCTGTCTTTTTAGTGAATATAAGAAAAAACTATGTGTGTGAACGGTATGATTTTAACTTGAAAATTGAAGACGTTACACCGATATATGTATATGCGAGTACAATGGAAAATAATATAAAGTTTAGGACGTCCGGCAGATAGTAAAAGAGAAAGTAATACAACAGTTAAAACGAAAAGTAGTAGGCAACAGAGAGAGAAAAATGATAAGTTCGGGCGAGAACGGTTGCGATTGCGTCGATATTAGGCAAGAATGATCGAAACATGATGAGAGTCGTGTTCCAACGTTTGCGCACCCGTTTTTTCAGTGTATAAAATTGTTTGGATTCGGTCGAACGATTTATCAGATGTTCTTCACGTGCTGTCGTCGTTGTCCGAAGCAATGCGAGCGGTGTATTGTCATCGTCATCCTCTTCATTAAGTGCAATCGGAGACGACATATCAGCATCCAGTAATTCAGATACGATACGAAAGTCTTCAATAATAGAATCATTTGAGTCATTAATCAACAATAAGGAGGCATGAAGTAGCTCATTTTCACGATATCTCAATTTGGAGAATTTGCTTGAACATTGTCCAACAATGCTGATAGTCCATCTATTTTGGGAATCACATCAACCATGAGTAAATTGTGCAGATCATGGGCAGCGCACGGTAAATGCATAATATGCGCGTGACGCCACGCTTTTTGCACATTCGAGCCTTTGTCCGATACAATAATGATTTTGACAGCATTCAAACCAAAATCATCGCAGACTTCGATCAAACGTTGCTTAATTACTTCACCCCTATGCGGGTGATCGAATGGCTCATTTCGAAGAGTATACGAGCGTAAAATAAATAATGAATCAACGAAATGAAGAGTGAAGCAAATATAAGAGCGATCCCTATATTTGTCTGTCCACATGTCGCATGTCATGCCACAAATTTAGTTTGTTTAAATGGAAGGGATTGAGTGCCGCGCGAGAAGGAATATCGTCAACACTGTTGACAATACCATGTGCCATCAAAAGATCTTGGAAGCCTTCATTGGACACGGCAGAAAATGGTAGCAGATCGCGACAGCACATCAATGTTATGTCGGAAGCAAGTTGTTCTTTACGATCTTTGCTCGACCTCGTCGGTGCATATGTTGACGATTTGAAGTAGTTTGAAACATGCTCAGCAGTCGTTTTCACTTGTTCTTTACTGACGATTCTGTGTTTTATAGAAAGATGTAAAAGCATGTTTCCAGTGCTCACATTCTCGGTGTAATGAGTAAGTTGTTTCTGTATCGATAACGATGACAACGGGATGCTCGTTGAGTTGTTTGTGAAAACAAAGCTTGCAATAAATAGTCTTGCTATCGATCGCTTGTTTCGTTGCTGATGATGTCAGATGACAGAAGTGCAAGAGATTGACCGGCCTTGAAAGGACGGAGTCTGATGTGAATATCTCGAGTACAGTGCGTCATCCTAGTGGAGTAGTCACGTATTTCTTCGCTTGCGAGATACAATATAATGATAGCAGCAGTGTTAGTGGTGTCAATGAAAGTGCAATGCGACGCGTCTATTTATACGTTTCTTACATTTTTGTTCTGTCGCCTAATTTTTCAATGTTCAATACAAGCGCTTGTGTAGAACATTGAAAAATTAGGCGACAAAATAGAAACGTACGAAACGTATAGACGGAGGCGTTCGCATTGTTCATTCATTCATATGCCTGATGATGACCTGAGTTAGAGATTGAAAGCGCATCTTCATCGTTACTTGTTGTGTAATAGTCAAGAAAATGATATTCATAGCAATGGTTTACTCTCAGTTCGTCCCAAATTGCTCACTCTCACACCTGCTCGCGCCTTTGATGTTGTTTGATCTTACAAAGCCAATTTAGGACGAACTGAGAGGACACCCATAGCAATTCGTTACTTTATTTGTTCCAAGTCGGTCGTGCCATTGTATAATTCTTATACTGCCCACGTCACCGACGACAGAATGAAAGAAAAGAAGAAAGAGCGGAAGGCAGCAATTAGATATTGGAATACACGACTGACATCGTTTGTGATCATTGACAGTTGGTAATTTAGAAAAGGAAGAAGTTTGAACTGTACACCCTAATTCGATCAGCGACGGCGGCGGAAATTTTATCGGCGGCTAACACTTCTAGTTAGGTGGAACCCTAGAGAAAGAATTTTTGACAATTTTTATTAGTTTCTGATAAGATTCTTACAAGATTCTTATATAAGATGTTGCACGGAAGTGACAAGAAATTCACTGGTTCTGATAAGATTCTTATAAGAAACTTATAAGATATTCATAAGAAAGTAACAAGCCGT